TTTCATTTCTTCAAAGTCAGCCTCTGCAACTTAGTGAGACCCAAGCAACTTAGCAAGACCTGTCTCTAAGTAAAATATACATTTAAAAATAAATAAATAAATAAGGTTGGGGGATATAAATTGGGAATAATGACACCTTCTCCAGAGTTAATGGTTTTTGGCCTGAATAGCTAGGCTTGCTATTTGTTGGTGAAATCTAGAAGAACACATTTCAGAAGAGAAAATCAAAAGTTTGCTTTTAGGGTGTAGTTCAGTGGTAGGGTATTTGCCTAGCGTGTGCTAGACCCTGGGTTTGATCCCTAGCACTGCAGGAAAAGATGAAATTTTTACTTGTTAGGTTTGAAATGCCTCTTAGATAAATCTAAATGGAATCACCAACAATATAACAAGGCCAGATGAGATATCTAGGGAGTGAGTGGAAGACAGAGAAGAGATCCGAGGTCTCTTTATTTGACAGGACAGATAAATGAGGAGAACCCAGGAATGGAGGATGAGAAGCAGAAACAGCAGTGAGTTAGGAGGAGCATAGGGAACCCAAGGCCTAGGGAGCCAACTATCTAGGGAGCAGTGAGTGGTCAGTTACAGCAAAGGCACACAGAGGTTGGAAAGGTAAGTCCTGTAAATAGACCTTTGGTTTTGGCAATGAGAAATACCCTGGTGACCTTGACAAAGAAAAGAGCAGCTTCCATGGATTGGTGGAGTTGAACGCCTAATCAGAAAGAGAAGAGTAAAAGGAAAAATGTAGATAATTCTTCAGCAAATGCTTTAATAAAAGAGAGAGAAATAAGGCAGTAAGTAGCTGGAGAGGAAGGTGGCATAACATTTTGGTTTGCTTTATCATATGGGAGAAATAGCCTGTTTGTGTACAGATGAGAATGATGTTGTTAAAGAGAATAAAAACCCGATGATACAGAGGAAAGGGGGAGCCATGCAGGAGGGAAAGCCTTCATCAAACAAAGAGGGATGGGGACAGGATCACCTCCAGTCCACCCCCAGTGACGCAAGGCAGGTGGAATGAGCAGTCTAAAGTTTTTGGATTTGATTTTGTGGTGGGAGCACACAGAGGTTTGTGAGCAGCACATTTTTAGAGCAAGACTGGTACACACATCTGCAAATAGGTTAATGTTTTCACAGCAAAAAAAAATTAACGTGATGAAGAAAGGAGAGAAGTGGAAGGGAATTTCACAATTTTATTATTTCACAGAGTTCTAACAATCTCTCTCTCTCTCTTTCTCTCTCTCTCTCTCTCTCTCTCTCTCTCTCTCTCACACACACACACACACACACACACACACACATATACACATACACATACACATAAACCTTTCCCTCCATCAAATAATGATAGTCTGCCATGCACTAACTCCATCCCTGGCACCTAAAGTCCAAAATAGAAAGAACACATTATAACTAAATGATCCTCAAAATCCTTAATCCTCCAGAGCTGTTCCAGTTACAACAAGCATATTGTCACTCTAATGACCTCTTTGAACATCTACAGAGGACTTCAGAATGTCTAGGAAGGAACAGTCTTGAAACATTTGGGAAGGAGGTGTCAGGTAAAGAGCTGCAGAGCTGCTATGAGGCTTGGTCTTTTGACACTGACCTTTCCAATTTTTTTTTAAAGCAAGATTTGAGGGTCAGCTCAGCTCCTCTACAAAATAATAAAAGTATGTGATGCTTACTATGCACTCAGTACTATTTTAGTTTCTTTACATATCACTTGAAAATCTTAACAACTCTATGAGATGAATAATATAATTTTTTAATGTTAAGAAACAACTTGCCCAAGTTCATACTATTAGTGGAGGAGCCAGGATTCCAAATCAGGCAATTTAGTTGAGGATTTGTGTTTCTTTTTATTTTATTTTTTTCAGTGCTAGGGATTGAGTCCAGGCAAGCACTCTGCCACTGAGCTATACCCCCAGCCTGAATGTGTATGTTTTCACTTTGTCATCATACACCACTCATGTTAAGGACAGAGATATGAATATAATACAGCTCCTCTCTGCATGAGGTTCAGAGGATACCCCCCTAGAGGTCCAATGATAGATAAGAGAATCAAGAGCTGAAATGTTCTCAGGAATTTTGAACCCTCGGTCTGAAATAACCAAATAAACCTGACTTAGGGAGAACATAAAATCTGAATTTGGTTTCCAAAGTGCAATGTATCAGCACAGCTGAGAGAAATATGTTGTGACCACAAGTTCTCTGGAAAAAATCTGAGTGTTTTTGGTGACCATAGACTCAGCACAAGCCCAGCAAGGTGTTATGAACTCAAGAGCAAAACACTGGACTTAATAGTAAAAGGGAGGCCAAGGGTTCCATGGTGTGGCAAGTGAAAGTCCCCCTGAGCTCTGGCCAGCTCAGAGGACATCTAAGTCCATTCTTCCAAACATAGAGTAATATTTTTGGAGGAACACTGACAAACTATGGTATATTTAGTTGTGGCAGATGGGGAAGGGTAAAGAAATGATAGTGAAACTAAAGACTTATCTTCTTTAACTATTTGGCCATGCCATGGAAAAGTCAGTAGAAGACAAGTTTATCTTCACAGGACAGAAAAAAACAAGATCAAAGTGTGAAGTCATAAGATGACAGGTTTGGCTCCTTGGCACCACCACCCACCCCATTCCAACCCCAGGCTCTGTCTTAAGGCTTAGATGACTTCAAGATCGGGGTCTCCATTTGCTCACTTTTTCCTTGGTTGACTTTATATTCATATCTCTATCCTTAATATAAATGGCATATGATAACATGGTTAAAGCACATACTCAGGCTTGGGGGGTGTGTAGTTCCATGGCAGAATACTTGGCTGGCATGTGTGAGGCCCGGGCTTAATCCCCAGCACTGAAAAAACTAAAATAAAACAAAAAGCAAACACAAATCCTCAGCCAAATTGCCTGGTTTAGAATCCCAGCTCCTCCACTAATAGTATGAACTTGGGCAAATAGCGTGTCTTGTTTTTCTTAACGTATACACACACACACACACACACACACATATAAATGTACATATATTTCATCTCATAAAGATATTGAGATTTTCAAGTAACATGTAAAAAACCTAGAGCAGTACTAAGTACATATGACTTCCCAAATTTTGTTATCAACAAAACTCCCTTTGGTGAAATTCTATTGTCATTTTAAAACATCTCCATTAATAGTACCTTTATTCCTCAATTATGGGTTGATTTTATAAATGACAATATTTCCAAATAACCAATGACCAAACCTAAGCAGAATTTTGATTTGAGGCCTCAATGCTTTTTTTTTGAAAACACAATTCATTTCCTCCCCAGCCCCCACCCTAGAAAGAGAACTCAGGGCCTCTGGCATGTTAAGCAGGCTACACCTCCAATTCCATATATCTCTTTTCATTGACTCATTGTTCACTATAGTATTGGCTGGTGATATGGATATTTTTCCATTAGGACTCAAGGAAACTGTTTTCTCATGAAAGTCAACACTGAATACAATGTAGTAATCCCAAGTTATTATCGCTGGAAGCTAGATTGAAATTAATGACCTTGGAATGGAACACACAAAAAGCGCTGCACCAATCAATTTCCAAAGCTCCCCAAAGCATTTTTCCTAATACTTAAAGTTGATCACAAGGAAATAAACTCTGCTTTTGTTTCTTTTTCTCTTTTGTGGTGTAAGATAGAACATGTTGTATTTGTTATTCACAATTTATAACCCTATGGTTTTCTTCAGCTTATGAAAATGTTTTATAACTTTATTGATACGAATTGTCCTCAGAAAAAAAAATGTTCTTAATTTAAAATGTGAAGAAATCATTAAAGGAGAGCCGGGTGCAGTGGTGCACCCCTGTCATCCCAGAGAATGGGGAGGCTGAGGCAGGAGGATCACAAGTTCAAGACCAGCCTCAGCAACTTAGTGAGGACCAAAGCAACTTAAATGAGGCTCTATGCAACTTCGTGAGACCCTGTCTCCTAATGGAGGGCAAGGCTGGGGATGTGACTCAGTGCAAAAGCCCCTCTGGGCTCAATCCTAGTACCAAAAAAAGAAAGAAAGAACGAGAGGAAATACATGTGCCAAATTAGCAGTAAAATCAGTTTATTTTTCTATCATTTTCTTTCTGGGGGCATAAGTTTGCAGCTATATAGAACTAATTGTTAATTATTTTCGGGGGGGGGGGCATGATTGAGAGGAATTGGACCCTCAGGTTTACCTGGAGAAAGTGCTACTGTGGCAAATTGAATTGGAGATCTTAGAACATCCTCCCCCTGGGTAGAAGCTCACTGGCAGGTGGAGGTTTACTTACTCTAAGTGAAGGACAGCTCCATAATTCATGACAGCACTTCTTTTTGGTCCGTGCTGGAGATCCAATCCCGGGCCCTGCCCATTGTGGGTAAGCTGTCCTGCCACAGAGCTACACCCCAACATTTGTTCACAGAACTCCGGACATACAACTTATACTTGAAGGTACAAGTTACCCATTTTATAAACTGAGGCCAGGAAAGCTTAGTCTTTTGGGGGGTCTCATCGCTTAGAAAGGATGACTTAATTATAAACACATGTATTTTGATATCCATAGCCCTGGGTACAGAGTCCGGTTCCATGACCTCTGTGACCTTGAGCCTCTAGAACCTCATCTGTAAAGTGATGACAACTCTTCTTTGTAGGGTTAGTTTGAATATTACAGTTAAGCAGCCTAGGCTGTGTAGTTCCTGGTCTGGGACAGAGCGAGTGCCCCCAGTTGTCCAACTTCCCTTTTTTCCTGTTAAAACCCGACTCCTCCATTCAGACTTCAAAGCAGCGTCCCCTCCTCCTCCACGTGGCATCTCTACACTTCCCACACACAGTGCTGGCTCTCTCCTCATATTTGTGGGTATTCGCTTTTATCTCAATTTCTGCAAGAATATGCAATAAATGATTGAATGACTGAGCGTGGTTGTGTAGAGACGAAATCCCCGCCTCCCGCCTGGTGCAGCCAGGCACTGACAACTTGACTGTCCGGATTCTCTTCCTCCACAGAGGCCTTTCTCACCAACCACACGGAAACCATCACCGTGGAGGAAGGGCAGACGCTCACTCTGAAGTGTGTCAGTTCTCTGGGGAAGAACGCCTCCCTCCAGTGGCTGGCCCCCTCAGGCTTTACCATCTTTTTAAATGAGCATCCTGGTAAGTGAATGAAAGAGAAAAAAAAAAAATACACACACACACACACACCAGACCTTGACCTAAGGGATTTTCCATCCTGACAGGTTAGTGGGACAGAAAGCTGCATGAGTCACCCTAAGGGTGGGCTCAGCCCTCCTACTGCACACGTGAATCACGCCTCCAAAGCCAGTCATTTGACACATGGCTGCTTTTCTGGGGGCAGGAAGTCTGAAATGGAAACCCCACCAGAATGGTTGTTAAATGGGCTCAAATTACAAAGCACCTTTTTGTGTCCCCACCTCACCCCCACATTGCTTTTTGACTCTCGGAGACCATGAAACACCCACAGCAAAATGAGAAGCAGACAGTGGATCGACCTGGGGGCCCTCACCTCACGTAGCCCACATTATAACCCCACCTCTGAAGCCATCTGCTTTGTTAGTCATCTGAGCAATCAAAAGTCACATTCCAAAGCCCCCTTTCAGAAATCTCTTTTTCCTCCCGTTGGTCTGAACATAAAATCAAGACCTCTAAGCGGTAGGAATTGACAAAGCCGTTTCTCTCTTCTCAAACACACATTAAATGAGCACTAGATGCCTGAAGTGGAAAGCAAGTCTCAAAAATCTATTTCATTCATCTCTTGGACTTTGGACAAGATTTTACTAAAGCCTTCCCTTTATCATGAGACCATCTCATGTCTCAGTTTAATATTCCTAACTGCCAGATATTTGATAAAGCATCTACGACAGCAAATTCTATTCTTGTTTACAAAGCAGAGTACCAAAAAATTTTATATGCTTTGAAAACATGAAATATTGATATATTAAATATAAAATAACCATATATACCATTTCAAGCTAAACCAACTATTAATACCAGATTCCAATAGAATAAGAAAGTACTAATTGATAAGAGTTCTAGAGAAATAAACTTTAAGTAGAGATATTTCTGTTAAATAACGCTTTCTGGTGTTTTATTTCATTTTTCTTTTGGGAAATTGGGAGAAGATGGACATTCTTGGATTTCAGCTGCATAATGGCTTGATCTGTCTCTGTGGTTCTGCACCTGGAATGGTCTTGCCCTCCAGAAGATTGAACCATGTCTGGAGATGGTTTGGGTTGTTAGAAATAGGTCAGGGGGCTGCTTCTGGCATCTAGCAGGTGAAGGCCCAGGACGCTGCTGAACATCCTACAATGAACAGTATTGCATCCATCACAAAGAATTATTCTCTCAAATGTCAACAGAGCAGAGATTGAGAATCCCAGAATTCTAATTCATATAATATCAGTACCCCAGGACACATAACTATTTAAGGTTCAACTATTTTAGGTTTGTTCATATTATACATCTTAACAGTTTTTAAAAAAAATAAGCAAAACCACTAATTTCCAGAGTCTCTGTTTGTTAGGGGATCTTTGACTGCAGATGGAAACCCCATGTCAGTCATAGTCAAGAAGAGAGCTTGTTATTGGCTGGAACTTCTTAGAGCTTCCTTTTTTTGCCATTGGCTAAACACCTGGAAGGACTAAATCATAATCTACGGGAATCTTCAAACAATAACGAACATCTCTAAATTTAAAAATGCTTAGCTTTAAAAAAAATCACTTAGCTGGTGCATTTATCGGTGCATATATCTCCATTCTTGAATTCCCTGTGACAACATGACCTTCAGTGAATTAAATTTCAAAGAGGTAAATCAGTGGAGCACTTACCTTGGAAAAACAACTAGAATCCTACAATCTGAATCTTTGTCCCATCTAGCATTCGTAATTTCCTACAAGTACAAACAAAGCAATTTGTTTATTTCGCAGATCCACTATTGAAATATTTTATTTCCTAAACTATCCTTGAGAAGCACCCAGCTGATCACACTAGAATTTGGAGGGTGGCTCAAACGAAGACATTTGTTCCTTTAAAGTGTGAAAATCAAAAGCTATTCCTGTGAATAATCAATCTGTATTCATCTGACACCTTTCCTCATAATAGCTCTATTTTCTTCTTGTACAGCTTTAAAAAATTCCAGATACCAGCTTCTTCATCACTCTGCCACCCAGCTCTCCATCAGTGTGCCCAGCGTAACCCTGCAAGATGAAGGAACATACAAGTGCTTATGTTACAGCAACTCCGTAAGCACAAAGGAAGTGAAAGTGACTGTGTTAGGTGGGTACCCCAGCAAGTAAACCCAGGCAGGGGGAATGTAGTTACCATTTTTAAATCTTGACCTTTTAGTTTACAAAGTGTTGCTAGTAAGAAAGCATTTCCTGGGGGCACCTCTGCTATCTTTTGTAAAAGAAAATGAAATAGAGTATTTTGAGTGACAAACTCTAGATTAAACTGTGAACTTGTGAATTTATTTGCCTTTGGCATCAATTGAATTTTCTTTCCGGGAAACTAAAAGAAAAAAGAATTAAAACTGGATGAGCTTCAACTATATGCTGGCGCCATGTGAGACTCTAGGGGATCCAAAAGGAATTAGGCGCAACCTCTGCCCATTGGGGTTTGCGCTCTATTTAGGAAGGTAAACTAAAAGAACCTGGTGACAGTGAATCCTAAGATAGGATGGAGTCGCGTGTAGTTGCACTGGATGCTCTGCTCACATCCTCTCCCAAACAATTCCTCTTTTCTGTTGGGGGGTATGCAGAGGAAGTGAGTCTCCTGATCATTGGGGACTAGCTCAGTTCTGCAGATGGTCAATTGTGACCAGTATATGTCTTACCATCTTTTGGTGGCAGAACAGAACAATTAAAAAACATTACTTTATATCCATCTCTAAATAACATAATCCCACAACTCACATAAAATGATTCCTCAGACCTCTCTGGTTGAATTACAGTGTGACGCCTGTCGTAAAGGAAAGGCCTGGTGGGAATGTAACAGAGAAGGAGTGACTCTCTTGAGTGCCTGGAGCATCAATGTGACTCAGCTCGGTGCCTTCTCCCCTGTGTGACTGGCCACCTTGTGGTGCCAGTCTGGTTCAGGCTGGTCATGTGTCCTTCTGGGCTTTCAAAACTCTGCTATCATTGCCTGAAATACTTCATCTTTTTTTAGTTTTATGGAGCTGGGGATTGAATCCATGGCTTCACACACACTAAGCACCTGCTCTACACTGAGCTACAACACGTGATCCTTTAAAGAGTTTAGGGGCTGAGTGTGCCACCAGACTGTCAGCTCCTCAGAAGACCCTGTCTTTTGCATCTTTGTGTTGTCAGCATGTGACATATCTAGCGCATGCTTGGAGCCAATAAGTGCCTTGACAGTGTCTCGATGGCAGATATACAAGTTAAATAAAGGTAGAAGAGCAACATTCTAGACCAAAGTAGAAGTGGGATAGAAAAGAAGAAGAAATAAGCCCAACTAAAAAGTATTTCCAAGACAAAAACATAGAGAAATAGGACCAATGGGTCCTTTATAAGAGAGAGTGCCTTTGATGTCAGGATGGGACAGAAGTAACTGACTTTGAGATAAGTCATAGACTCAGGAAAGTTTAGAACTGAAGGAGCCATCTCCTTCACATCACGGGTGAGAAAACACTGGTGTGCCAAAAAGCTGGGGAACTTACCAAAGTTCTTACAACCAGCCAGTGATAGAGGTAGGTCCGGAATCCAGGTCTCTCCCCCACCTAGTGTCTACCAACCAAATACAATAATATATCACATTCAAATTGTTGTAAAATCATCTGTTTTGGAACTTTCAGGGACTAATTACACCCTGAGTGACAAACAGTCTGACTTCAGCTAAAGAAACTTTGCAAACATATAACAGCCCTTCAACATGATTGGATTCAGGGAAAGATAAAGTGAAAAATGTGCCCATTCATTGGATTATGTCCTACAATCATCCCTACAGAATCTTAGGCTCTGTGCTTTGCTCAGATATGATGACCAACTAAGTAAACATAGAAAAATCAATTTCCTTCTAGCAACTCCTGTGAAGCCAACCTTGGAAGCTTCAGTTATCAGAAGGTTGAATGGAGAAGACCATGTCGTACTTAAATGCTCCACTACAAGAAGCAAGCCCCCTCCACAGATAACCTGGCTACTGGGGAATGGCATGGAGATATACGGTAGGAAGAGAAACCAGTTCTTTGTTTTCCTTTCTCCTTAGATTTATAATGAATTTTTAAATGTTCTGGCGCCCTCTGGAGGTATCAAAAGATACCATTGAATAATTCATCTATTCTGTTTCCAGAGAAATTATTCTTATAACCAAACCAATGTTATGCCTTGATACTAAAAGGCTAATTGCAGAAAATAAAAATGCTTTTGCTTAAAACAAGGTAGAAATAAAGTGGAATATTTATAACATTTTCCTAAAACTTGGCAATATTTCCTAAAGTAAGAAGTGTAATATAGTTATTACCTGTGAACAGAAAGTTTTTTGCAGGCATAAAATTGAAAATATATTTTATAAAGTACATATATGAGCATATGGGGATTCTTCAAAAGACTAGAAGTGGAACCACTATATGACCCAGCTATCCCACTTGTTTAACTAAAATTAGCATACTATAATGATACATGCATGCCAATGTTTATAGCAGTGCAATTCACAATAGTCAAGTTATTGAACCAGATTAGGTGTCCATCAGGAAATGAAGAAATAAAGAAAATGTGGTATATATAGGCAATGAAGTTTTAATCAGCCATAAAGAAGAATGAAATCATGTCATTTTCAGGTAAAGAGATGGAATTAGAGCACATTGTGCTAAGTGAAATAAGTCAGACTCAAAAAATCAAGGGTCAAATGTTTTCTTTCATATACAGAAGCTAGAGAGAAAGAGAATGGAGAAAAAAAGAAATATTTAAAAAGGTGAGGATCTCACAAAAAATAGACAGAAGACCAATAGAGTAGAGGAAAGCTATCAAGAGGGAGGGAGGAGAAGAGGGCATGGGAACGTAGTAGGGAATGAAATCTACCAGATTATGCTATATCTATGTATGAATATACCACAAATAATCATATAATATATATAATCTCATCTGATATGATGAAAATACACTAATTAAGTAACAATAACTACTATAAGGGAAGTCAGTTAGAGCAGAGTCAGCAGATCAGGAGAGAGAGCAAGGGAGGAAAAGGAGGGCACTTGGAAATGAGATTGATCAAATTATGTTGTTTGCAGGTATCAATGTGGCATCGTGAATCCCACTATATGTTTAATTATTAATGAATTAACTAAAAATGGTAAAAATTTTAAAACAGAATCGAACTAAAAAATAAAATACATATATGGATGCTCCTTGACTTACCATGGGGTTACATCTCAACACATCCACTATAAATTTAAAATATCTTAAACGAAAAATACACTTAATACATCTAACCTATCAAACATTAATCATGCTTTGAACACTCACATTTTAGCCTATACATGGAAAAAAAATCCAATACAAAGACCATTTTATAATAAGTGCTGAATATCCTTTTTTTAAATTTATTTTTTTTATTTGTTCTACTTAGTTGTACATGATAGCAACATGCATTTCAATTCATTGTACACAAATGGAGCACAACATTTCAATTCTCTCGTTGTTCATGGTGTAGAGATGCACCATTCGTGCAATCATACATGTATCTAGGGTAATGATTTCCATCTCATTCCACCATCTTTCCTACACTCATAACCCTTCCCTTCGCCCAATCAAATGTTCCTCCATTCTTCCCAAGGACCCCCACCCCACCCCATTATAGATCAACATCCACTAATCAGAGAAAACATTCAGCCTTTAGTTTTGGGGGATTGACTTAACTTCACTTAGCATTATATTCTCCAACTCCATCCATTTACTTGCAAATGCCATAATTTTATTCTCTTTTAATGTTGAGTAATATTCCATTGTGTGTGTATATGTATGTATGTATGTGTGTGTGTGTGTGTATATATATATCACAGTTTCTTTATCCATTCACCTATTGATGGGCATCTAGGTTGCTTCCACAGTTTAGCTATTGTGAACTCAGTGCTGAATATCTTGTGTAATTTGATAAATATTCTACTGAAAGTGAAAAACCAGAATGGTCATATAGTATGCTTTCAACCATTGTAAACACGAAAAATCTTAAGCCATCATAGGTCAAAGACTGAATGGATTTGGAACAAACAAGATCTTCCTTATATAATGTAGTACCATGTCACAGTCACAATGATAGATTAAAAATATTATGAGGACAAAGAATCCAAACTTTTGACCTTTAACTGAAACAGGCTAACTAATTAACTGTGGTGTTGGGAACTACTTAATGGTTTGCTTACATTTCAATATACATTGCCTTTCATGGCTAAGTAAGCATACATCCTTGAGAACCGTGAGGACTCTGCACAGTTAAGAATACTGCAGCCAAACAGAGTTTTAGAGAGAGAAGACCTAAAACCCAGATCGAATTCCCAGTCCATTGCCAATTCTACTTCATCGCAAGGCTTCTCCTTTAATTTGCCTTATTCATACAACCTGAGTAAGCTCCAGGTCCTTGTGTCCTTCTTATGAAATCACTGTAAGTTTTGAAGTTTTTCCCCAGTAGTGAAGGGTTAGTTGGAACTCACCCACTCTTGTTCACCTGCTTTCCTTTGTGACCAGAGCCCACACACACAAGGCAGCTGGTTGAGGTTAGATTGCGGTTAGAAATTTAACATGTTTGCCACGAAGTCCGAGCCATTGGTCTCTAACAGAACCAAATCCATGGAAGAGCATTAAAAAGCCATGCTTTTTATCTCTCTTTAAATTTCTACATAGGCGGAACCCACCATGAATTTGAAGCTGATGGGAAGAAGTGCAACACGACCAGCACCCTTGTACTGCACACATACGGCAAAAACTCCACAGTGGACTGCATTGTCCGACACAAGGGCCTGCAAGGGAGAAAACTGGTTGCATCCTTCTGGCTTGAAGATTTGGGTAAGGGTTAATGATTGTCTTCAGTCATTTTACATTCACCTTCCTATTGCACTCTCAAACAAAATTAAATGGAGTGGGCAAAGTCCTTCAGAGTGAGATTACTGTCAACAAAGATCTCCTTAATAGCATGTTTCTGCAATGATTGGAATTTCTCCAGCTGAGGACAGAACTGTAAGGGTTCCAGTGCCCAGAAGACTCCCAGCTGGGCGTGAGGTCTAGCAGAGCACCACATGCAAATAGCACCATTCTCTCTCTTTGATAATGACAGCTAGCATTACTTGACTGCAGACAGTTTTATTGCAGTTACATTGTTGGAGAGAGCATGTGAAGCATACTGCATCGTTGTACTTGACCCAAAAGGAGATAGTAACTAAAATTTATCAAAACTAGTCAATATCGTTATATGTTCTTACAAAATAATTGCACAGTTACATTGAGATGGTGGACCTTTAGATATACTTTGCTGTTGCTGTATTAAAGATTCCCCAAAAGTCCAAGAAATAATTAAAACCCCCCAAACAACTCTTCAAGCCAAGGATCCCATAAGAAGCTGCAGGAATCACTGGCCTGTCAGTAGTAGAGCTCTGAGCTTCATTATTTTACAAGGTACTTCTTGCTGGAAAATGAGATTCCTGAGTACAAGGAATTGCTCACACTAATGAAAGAGGAAAATGTTGGATGAGGATACATTACTGAAAAATCTCTTTTATCAAATGAAATAATTTATGACAAAAGGCACTCGTTCAGGGCAAGGTTGCTTAGTGGAACCTCACTAGGGAAGGCTGCCAGGCTAATCTGTGCAGGCTGTTGCTGTGATCAGCAGGCCTCCTTCAAACTACCACATGCTGTCCATGGGCCCCTTTCTCACCAACCAAAAACAGTTTATTGAGGAAGCTGTAGTCGAAGACTCAAGGCCCCACAGTCTGGGCTACACTGTAATCTTGTGTACCCACCCCTACCCCTTGGTGATTCCCCACACTTCCCCCTCCACCAGTAGAATTGTAGCACAGAGACATTTAGGTTCTTAAATAAGAGAACCAACAATGTTGGGTGGGAATGTATTTTTACTTTTCAGCAATGTTTCAAGCCATCTATCATTTTTTTCCCTCCTCTTATGCTATACTTCTATATGTCTCAAAATTACATCTAGAAATATTTATAAAAATAGGCTAAGATGAGTTGTATTTGTGATCTATTGACTATCTAGTGCCATAGTCAGATCTCTAAGTACTCAAAGAGGACTGCGAGCGTCAGCTGGTGGTGGCTTCTATTTGTTTATGACCTTGTTTCTTTGGTGAGCTATGTCTAGATTGACATTCAGATATTACAAATAGTCATTAGTTTAAAACATTTGCTCGCTGAGGATGCTTTAAAACACATCTACAAGTGAGAGTTCTGAACCTTTCATCCCTGCCCTCTCTGTAGCGTAGGACCTGGGTGGGGGGCAATGAACCATGTCCATGAGGTGCCACCCTACACGAGGTGCATTAGAGGAGATCAGATTCTCTTCAGAACCACTTACTTCATCTTCTCAATGAGGAATTTTGATTTCCTGTTACTTATCTGTAGATTTTTTTAAAAATTGAACAGTTTTCAAATATTTTACTTCAGCACCCCTCTACATTCTTAAAAATAATTTTAAGACCTCAAAGAACTTTTACTTATTTAAATTATATCTGTCAATATTTAACCTATCGGAAAGTAAAGCTGACGGATCCAAAATATGAACTTATGCTTTTATTTTAAAATAATAAATTCACAAAATGTTAACAGAAATGGCATGTTTTTCTTTAAGAAATATATTTTGTAATACCAAATATTAGTTAAAAAATGGGCATTGTTTTACATTTTTGAAGATCTCTTTTGTGTCTGGCTTAATAGAAACAATTAGGTTCTTATAAATTTTACATTCAATATGTTGTTTTGCTTGAACTACACATAATTCACCTTCACAAAAATATGTAATTGGAAGAGAAAGGGGCCCATGGAAATCATGTGGTAGTTTGAAGGAGGCCTGCTGATCACAGCAATAGGCGCATATTTATTTACTTTCTGAGTCTGGTTTAATTCACTGGATGATGATCTCCAATTTCATCCTTTTACTAGAAAAACATAGAATTTTATTATCCTTTATGGCTGAGTAAAATGCCATTGAATGTGTGTGTGTGTGTGTGTGTATACATATATCATTTTAGAGAATAGTTTTAATAGCCTTTTTTAATAATTGTGGATATTGTTCTTTGAGATTATACTCAACAAGATATAGCTTCTTAAAGGTTAGTTGCTATGTGGACCCTGGACCCTATAAATGAACTTTTCATATTCTGTTATACTAAAATCCATTGAATTATTTTGCACCTTGAATGAATCTTTTACCTTGGCATGATTTTCATAACACTATGCCTTGGTCATTTAGAAAATACTGAATTACAGAGTTATACAGATCTTTCAAACGTTGACACATTTCAATATCAAAATCTGTTCCATAATAGCATCACTGATCTCATCAGATGCCTTCAAGTATTTGAAAGCTGCCAAGTTCACAGTGGCGGACATGAATTCAAACTTGAAAAGCAGCTAGTGCTACTAAGGAACTATATTTTAAATACTATTTAACTTTAATTAATTAAAATTTAAATAGACAGTGTAGTTAATGTATACCACAGTGCATAGCAGAGGTCTATAACATCCTGGCCCACTAGGGAGGTAAATGTGGCTAGAGTCCACCTAATCAAAACAACAGTCTAAATACAATTATTCAGCAGCGTGTGGACTGAGAGGATAAATCAAAGTACACACAAATTTTAGTTTTAAATATATATAACTAGTTCAAACATACACATATGCAAATTATACATATATAAACATACACAAACATATAATCATCTGAATTCATAGACTAATTACTATGTTAAAAGACTTCCATCATTATTGATAAATTGTGTTTTACATGTCCCCAGTACTTCCCACAGGATGCCACTTTTATCATATCCTTCCAGCATTTATATTTGACTAGATTTCAAACTTTCTCCTCTTTGCATTGTCAATAGCCTTCTTCTTTTAGACTTATAGTGTGTACAACTATTCCTTATAAGTGGTTCTGCTTCCTATGGTTTCAGTTACCAGTGGTTCAGCAAGAAGGCTGAGTTACAGTAAGTAAGATATGTAGAGAGAGACCATAGTCACATAACTTTCATTGCAATGTATTGTTATAATTGACATTTTTACTATTATTTACTGCAATGAATATCTTCCTGTGACTATAAAGTAAACTCTGTCATAGGTATGTGTGTGTAGGGAAAGCCTCAGTATATATATATATATATAGGGTTTGACATTATCCACAGCTTCATCCACAGGTGGTCTTGGAGCACATACCCCATAGATAAGAGGGTACTACTGTATTACTAGTTCTCTAACATTTCCTCAATAATTCTTTCTTTTCCCAGAGTTCTTAGGCATAACTCAAGCTTTTATACTTTTCCAAAAAAATTACACATATTTGATTAATAAGATACACCTTCAAAACCACAGAAAATTCCTAGATTTAATAAATACTGAGAAGTACACAAATTTCATGGAGACGTTACTCACACGTCACATATTGGTGAATTGACATGTAGTTGTTACATTCTTCCTGGATGTGGGCCTGTTCACTGATGGGTGAAATCCATCCTAAACTGAACCTTTGAAAACATCTCGAAGTAGTTCTCAATATTATATAATAATATTTAGTAAGCACTGTGCTCCATAAACATCAAGACATTGTACTATGTTGTTGAATGAGCTTCTTACTTCTTATAAAAATACCCAAAGAGGTCCATGCTGTCAGTATGTCCACTTCTGTGAGAAGAAAAAAAAAAAAAACTGAGTGTTACATAAATTAGGCATGTTTTCCAGCAAATAGCAGCACTGGAATTCAACCTAGGCTTGGGGGGACTCCAGAGTCACCTAAGTGATAAATAGGAAGATAGATGTGTGGCTGGGTAGACAGATGGACAGAAAGGTAGAGGGAATGACAGACAGGTAGATGGATACAGACAGAGGCAGTGAACACCCTTTGCCAATTGCTGCCAAGTGCACCAACATTCACAAGTCCAGCATGCTGCATTTGCAAGCTGGTCGGGTTAACAGATGGACAACCAGCAGGGTACAGATTGAAAAACCAGAGCAAGAGCTGTGGAATACACAGCTCTGAGGTTTCTGCAAAACCTCCACAAGGAAGTAGCAGGCAAATACGTTCTGTTTTACTGAGCACGATGTGGGTAAAATTGCTCTCTGTAGTTGCAGAATTTTGTTTTTCCCCTTTCCTAGTTACTGATCAAGAGACAGCCTCAGATGCTCCGGAGAAAAGCTCTCTCTCCTCTCAAGACCCTCAGCATCCCACAAGTACTGGTAAGTGTCTAAATCACTGAAACATGACAAAAGATCGTGCCTGCTTGGGAAGGTCACTATAAGTTTTAAGAATATTTTTATTTTAATTTTTAATAAGACCACACAAGACCCACCCCCTCCACTGGCTCCAGCTTTGTGTTGTCCTGAAATAGGGCTACATCAGGAGGGCTGACGTATAATGGAGGACCAGAGAGCAACAGCATGCCTTGACCATTCAGTACAATTTTGCTGGAGATGTAATGAACACACACACAAAATTGCACACATGATTATGAACTTGAATTTCCTCTGTGGTAAATGACAAGGTTGAATTCATTTATGAGGAGTCTCATTCTTGTTTTCCCTTGCCTAGAACAGAGCAAACACAAAACACAGATTTAATTTCATTCCACACAGAGCCCAGAAGGAGGAGCTGGGATCTGGTATTGTCATGGAATAACAAAATCACCTTTGAAAACACATCAATTACTTGGTTGTCAAAAACTTAGGTCATTTATTTTTTATGACAGCATTGAGCTATAAGACCAATTTAGAAAGCTTGAGTTATAACTACAGTTTTATTTTTAATTTTTTTATAGTCCCAGATCTTTAGGCAGTGAATTCACTAGATGGTTCAATTGGAGCAATAATCATATATTTAATTTAGCCTGATAGTTTACCCAGCATAGTCTTTGGCTAAATAGCAAGTGCTCAGAAAATTCAGAATGAATGAATAAATGTTATTTAATGAACAGATGGATGAATTTGTTTTGGTGTTTTGAGCAAGACAGTCTCATTCAGGATGCCATAAATTCCTCTATGATCCTTTTCTATTTCTTGTGGTATCTCTATAATAATTTCATTTGGTAAGAAGTGTGTTCACATCATTATCATGTTCATAGTTCTGAGTATCAGATCACATTTTTAGAAATGTGTACCTTGAATAATGTTTAAAAGTAAATATTTGGGGGTTTTAAACACTGATAAATACAACATGTACCATACGGTTTTCAAGGGCAATGGAAATTGAAAATATTATGAAGTGGAACAGCCACATCACTTGCTTTAATAAACCAATATTTTTAAACGTGTTTAGAATCTAGTTGTCTTTAAATTGGCTAGCACCACTACTGAGCAACTCAATTTCCTGTTCTGTGTTTTCTTATATAACATAAGATTTAAGAAATATGGTCTCTAAAATTCCTTTCAGCTTCCAATTTCTGTGATTTTATTGTCGCTAATAACACCCATTTTCAGCAGCATGGAAGACTTCATTCCCCTCTAGGTCCACACAGTGGCGCTGTGCAATGGGCTAAAAAGACTTCAAATGGAAAAAGAACCAGGGAGAGAAAGACAATTTGGAAAAAATATGCAACAAAATCTGAAAAAGCCATTTTTATGATTTTTTTCTATTTTTATGATTTGTCTTATCAGGCAACATCATCCTAGCAAATCCTATTTCTAAAGGAGAGGCAACCAGAAGTTTGAATGACAACTGAGGCTTTTACTTCAATATAAAAAGCATTGTTTTGTGCACCTGGGATTATAGGTTCCTATTCAAAACCTTGGGATGCCATATCTGCATGTTTAGTGATTATTTTGAAGTGTCCTAAGGACCTTCTTCCTAATATTCCTGATCAGGAAGAAAGTATGAAATAACAGTATAAATTTGGGGTTCTAGAGTTCAAAGATACTCTTTTGTGGTTGGTTCTGCCACGAATTTGCTGCAGAACTTTAGGTATATTACTAATTCCTCAAAACCTCACTGTAGTAAGAAATAAAAGATACCAAGCGCTCAGTTAGGGCCTGGTATATGGTAAGCTTTCAACTAGTGTCTGCCTAGCCAGGCGCAGCAGCGCATAGTTTTAACCCCAGCAACTCAGGAGGCTGAGGAAGGAAGATCACAAGTTTTAGGCCAACCTTGGAAGCTTAGCAAGTCCTTCTCAAAAAATAAAAAAGGGCTGAGGATGTAGTTCATAGGAGACACACCCCTGGGTTCCATCCCCAGTACCACAAAATAAATAAGTAAAGTAAAAATAAACATTTGCCTAAAAAAAAAAAAAAATAGTAAGGCAAAGGGAACTTAGCCACTTGCAACTATTTGGTTTTTTTTTTTGCAAGAAATAGTAGTTCAAAATGAAATAAGCCAGATACAGAAAGATAAATGCTACAAGTTCTCTCTCATGGGTAGAAGCTTAAAAAGCTGATCCAAAAGTAAAATAGTAGAATAGCAATTACTAAAGGGTAGGAATGGGACTAGATGGAGGTTGTATAACAGTTACCAAAATACAGTTAGATAGCAGGAAAAAGTTCTAGTGTTCCACAGCACAGCATAATAACCATAGTTTATATTAAACAATGATATATTTTAAACTAAAAGAGAGGAGTTTGAAGGTTTCAAACAAAGAAATGATGAGATGAAAACTCTACCCCAATTTGATCATTATATACTGTTTTCTATAAAAATGTATAATTATTACATTATTTTAAAAGAGAAAATAAAAAAATTTAAAACAGTAATTTTAAAATGAGCTTTTTTTAATAAAATGAGGACCACTTAATATGGCTTTCAAGCTGCTTTGGTCAGAATATATATAGTTATATAGGTAGCTATAATCTCCGTTCATTTTATGGTGCTAAAATAGAACACTATACACCGAGTTATTTACAATGAACAGAAACCTAATTGGCTCACAGATTTGGAGGCTGGGAAGTCCAATAATGAGGGGGCCACATCTAATGAGGACCTTCTTGCCAAGAAAGGGTAGGAGAGACAGCAAGAGGGTCAATCCACTCTTTTGCAGGAATGGCCTCCATCCATTTATGAAGGATGGAGCCTTCACCACCCTCTTAAAGGTCCCACATCCTTACATCATCGCAATGGCAACTGAATTTCAATATGAGACTGGGAGGGGACAGGCATGCAAGCTATAGCAGTTATATGCAAAATCATGAATAGATGACATAGGCATATAACATGTCTTACTTTTTTTCACCATAGTCTCAATGATGGAAAATTCTAGTATACCAGAGATTGACAAGGAAGAGAAAGAGCAAACTACTCAGTACCTTGACTTGACCATTGGTAAGTATCACCCACTGTGTTTAGAATAAACACTTGACATTTTAACCTCTTAGTGGAAAAATTCAATGGCCTTCTCCAGTCCTCATTTTTCTCAACGTTTCTGCCCTTTATGACACAATGGGTTAATCACTCCCTTGTCCCTTCTTGACTTAGTTGCCTCCTGCCTTCCTTGACATCTTCCTTTGCTAACCATAGTTTTTCTGTATTCATTAGCTAACTCCAGTTCTTCCTGACATCTTAGATGTGGGATATGGCTCAGTTTGTAGAGTGATTTCCTTACATGTACAAGGCCCTGGGTTCAATCCCCCATCCCACAAAAAAAAAAAAAAAAAAAGAAAGAAATTAAATTTGGGTAATGTGGGTCTACTTCCAATTTTACTGCTTCATGTTTTGTACTTTTCTTAATTCTTAAAGAGTTTACCCATTCCCAAGATTGTTACTGTTGCCTGTAGGAGGAAGATTTTCATACCTGTATTTCCAGAACATTCTTCTGAGCATTAGTCCCGGTTTCATTTTTCTGTCTCTCTAACCAAATTTTCTTTCATCTCCTTCACTCAACATTGCTAAAAACCAAATAGCAACTTTTTCCACAAAATCAGCTTGTCCAAAGCAGAGCCCCAAATCTTAGTGTAATCCTTTATAATTGTGGATATATAGATATAGACATATACATATGCACATACCCCCCCAGCTTATATAAAAACAGCCAGTTTCCAAGGATTTTTTTTAAGAATTTAACCATTTTTTGTTTGGTTTGTTGTTTTATGTGGTGCTGAGGATCCAACCCAGTACCTCACATATGCTCGGCAAGCACTCTACCACTGAGCCACAACCCCAGTCCCTTCAAGGAGTTTTGAGTCTTTTTTTTTTTTCAGGTATATTGTCATTATCACTGCCACCCCTGAATTTAGAACCTCATAATCTCTCATAGAGATATTGTAACATCAATTTCTCTTCCTGGGGTCCATGTTTGGCTCCTATTGACAAAATATCCCTTTGCACTCTGCACACCTGTGTTCTGAAAACCTTTATGGCTTCCCAAAGTATGCAGCACAGAGTTGAGCTCCCCACCACCACAATAAAGTACACCCCCTCCTACCTCTGCAGTCCTTCCTTTAAAGAGTCCCTACAAGATACACATGTTTCTCTGAAAATCTCATCATGTTTCAGTCACACTTCCCTTGTGTATCCTAACTGCCCTGATTGGAAAGAGGAACATCCTTATTGGCCTTGCTTCTCCTGCAAGGCCAGTATCTTCCCTGAAAACTTTCCTGGCCAATTCAGCCCTCAGCAACCACTCTTGACTCTGAACCCCGGAACACATTATTATATCAACACATGTGGACCTAGACTTTTGAATAAGATACCTCACTTTTGTTTGTTTTTGTTAATTAATTTATTTACATATAGAGAAAACTACCCCCTCAAACATAGGAATTGTGTCTTAGGAAGCTCTAAGCATGATGTTCTCCACATGGCTGGCACTCTTTAATTACTTATTGGTTGAGATGAAGAACATTTAGCAAAATTGTAGCCCATAGGATCAGAATTCTAGGTTTAGAAATACTTTTTAGAGCTCATCTAGTTTATCCCCAAATGCCTTCATGAAGAGTCACATTTAACCTAGCCAAGATAAGTAGATTTTTCATTTGATTTAGTTAGTTCTCCAATCTCCTTAACAACCTCTTTTGCTACCTGACTACATTTTGCTAAAAACCATTTCTTACAGCTAATTTGAATCCCCTGACAATAAGTCAATATTCTTACATGCTTTCTCTAAAAATGAAAAATAAGTATTTCTATGAAATTAAAACAACTTTTCAAATCATCCTGTTACAGAATTGCTTTGCTTGTTTGTGTGCCTGCTCTGCCTGTTTGCAGAACGTGAATAATGTGTGTTCTTTACCTTCAGCAGTAAGCTCTGCCCCATCTCTTCATCTGGACTCTCGCTTCGCCTATAAAACATTGTGGAAGTATTGTGTATCCCTCAATAATCAAAGGGCAATGTAAAGAACACTGCCTGAAATCCTCTCATTTCCCTTGTAGAAGCAAATCCTCAGTATGTCGAATTGACGAGGAAGAAAAGTGGCATTCTGCTGCTCACCCTGGTGTCCTTCCTCATCTTCATCCTCTTCATCATAGTGCAGCTCTTCATAATGAAGCTGCGGAAAGCACACGTGATATGGAAGAGGGGTGAGTGGACAAAGATACCCATTAAAACAAATAGACTCTGGCTGGACACAGTGGCACACTCTGGCCTGTAATTCCAGCAACTTGGGAGGCGGAGACAGGATGATTGCCAGTTCAAGGCCAGCTTAGCAATTTAAAAAGACCTTAAGCAACTTAGATCCTGTCTCAAAGATGTAGCTGTGTGGCAAAGTGCCCCTGGGTTCCATCCCCAGTACCAAAATAAATTTTAAAAATAAATAATAAAATATATAAACTCAACGCACTCCAGAGTTAGAAGAAACCTTAGAAGTTATTTAGAATAATTGTCTACCCAATTCATCCCATAAACATGTAACAGGATTTAATCCTTTCCTCTCAAGGCATTATCTGGACTTGTGCTATCTGGTACAGGAGCCACAAGATGGTTATTGATCAGTTGATGTGTGACTAGTCCCTAAAAGATGTGCTGTAAGGATAAAATACACACCCAATTCAGTATACACACTAGCATGTTCACGCAGGAATATGACATACTAACAATCATATCATGGGTGTTCTAGTCAAATAAGTCATGTTATTGAATCAATTTCACCTGCTTCTTCTTACTTCTTGAATGTGGCTAGTAGAATTCTTTAAATCACATGTGTGGCTTCTACAGTGCTACTAGACAGTGCTGATCTAGTCACATATGGCCTCAATACCCCCAGAACTGTGTATTACCAAGGCAAAATACTACAACTTTGAAGATCTCTGACTTTTTTTTTTTAAGTATCATGTCTACTAGTTTAATATCTTCTTTGGACTGTTTCTAGACTAATATGCTCATTACAAATAACCTAGAGACAGGGCCTGACTTTTCATCATATCTCTGCCTGCTCAATAGGCAAATGCCATAGGATTATTTCAGAATTTCCCTTTAACTATTCACCCCCATCATTCTTTTAGGGGTCCTACATTTGTTCCCCTCTGAAGGACATTATTTGCTTCTATTCTGCTGTCATTGAACTTCATCATTCTTATAGTGCTTTGTCCAGTGCCTGTAGGAATACTAGTAAAGACTAAAAGCTCCATGTTGAGAACCTGGGGTATTCAGGAACACAATAAGATAGCTATTGTTCCATTACCAAGGCATCAACTTATTCAAACAAACATTTCTACATATGAATGATGTCCAAGGCTCCAGAAACTAACGATTTAATTTTCTTTTCTTGCAGAAAAGGAAATTTCAGAACACACCCTAGAAAGTTACAGATCAAGGTCAAATAATGATGAAACATCTTCCCAAGAGAAAAATGGACAAAGTAAGTCAACTGTGTAACCTGATGTTAGAAAAATAAGATTCATTTGTCAATTCGCTTTAAGGAGAAGGGAGAAATATCAAAGCTTGATTTTCAGAACTAGAAAATCAACCTCTCAAATCACTTTGAAGATTTAAAGAAGTGCATCTTAAAAAAATAATTGGGCCAGATACAGTGGCACACACCTGTAATCACAGGAATTAGGAGGCTGAGGCAGGAGGTTCACAAGTTTAAAGTCAGCAGCATAGGGAGGCCCTAAGCAATTTAGCGAGACCCTGTCTCAAAATACAAATAAAAAAGGGGTGGGGGTGGGCTGGAGATGTGGCTCAGTGGTTAATTGCCCCTGGGTTCAATCTCTGGTACCCAAATAAAAAACAATCAGTAGGTATTCCACATGGGGAAGCCTCCCCTGACTTCTGTCACACACTGGGGTGTTGTGTGTCCTTCCTGTGCCCCAGAGTGTGCTACACACAACTTTACTATGAAGCACTTCCCAGACCATACTGTGATTTCTGGTGCTTTGATTTAGCTACCACAATATTCTTTCATCTTGTGAGTAACTGGATTTATCCTATATCCTTGGGTCCTAGCACAGGGCCTCTCACCAATGGAGTGCTTGGTAAAGTTGTATTGAATAAATGAATATCAGCTTTAACTAATTCAAGCAGAAATGTTTCAGGTCTTTTGGGTAGTTCCATTGTGATTCTTGAAGCAAAATAAGTAGAGAAAATGAAAAGAACCTTAATGGGAAGGAAGGTGGGGTGGGGGGCATTGGATGAAGATCCAGTAGGCTAGTTTTAGGGAGAAGAGTAAGAAATGTATACTTTTCAACTATTTTATGTCCTCCATGCGGATTACTTTATTCTGCCTTCGAGGAGCTGCAAGAAATATAGTGAGCTGTGTCTCTAGGTTCTCTTGGTTTGACTGAGGTTTATGTAGGAAGTCTGGTCTTTTATAATACCTTTGTCTTTCGTTTTGTTTTGACCTAATAGAGTGCACCATGGAAAGAGAGAAATAGATGTGCTCACAAAAGACAGGGACACAGTGAATTGACTCTGTGAGAACTGGGGCAGGGACAAGGAATGTGTGTAAACTTCTTCTGACTGACCCTTGGATTACAAAGCATAGAGAATGATGTCATATAATGTGTAGCTTCCTATATTTTTCACAGGTGAGGGAACCAAAACAGTAGGAGGAGAATTATGCCCCTTAGCAGGAAAAGAAAACCCCTTAGCTCAGCTGTTAAAAAGCAGAAGCCCTTGCAATAAACTTAAAGGAAATTTTAAAATGAGGACCTGCACTCGGCCCGTCCTCCACAGACAGGGATATCCCAGGGGCTCACCACGCTCATAGGAGGTGGCACTTTCTCTTGGATGCAGACCTCCTCCTTCATCCTCCCTGCCACAGCACCCTCAAATCCAATGTTTTCACTGTATTTTTTTCTTTTGCACATTTAAAAGATATTCTCTATAGCTGCCTCCATGTCCAGTTGCACAGCTTCGAGGGGTCTGCCCCAGCCCTGTATTTCCCATGAGCCCTGTTATTTTTAATATGCAGTTTTGTTGAAGGCATTGTGCTTTTTTCAGCAACACACATGTAATACAGCATAAATGTCTACATATTTCATTTTAGTTTTTTAGTATGTTGTTTATGTGAAAAAGACTTTTTAAAAATTAAGGTATAACAATGCATTCAGACCATTTATGTGTATCAGGGACTCTTAGGTTTTGTCAGATGTGGACCTTAAAATCATGATGTCCCATCAAACCGTTTCGATAAATGGGTACAATGTTGTTCAGGATAAATGTTCATTATCTTTTATTTTTCAGCTTCTCACTCTAAACGTTGCATGAATTATATCACGAGATTGTACTCAGAAGCAAAAACAAAGAAGAAGGAAAATGCAGAACACTCAAAATTAGAAGGAAGGCACACTCCTATCCCAGAGAGCATTGTGTAGTGCTCCTTGCAATAGGAGATGATTTTTCAGCCAGCCACGCCATCAGTGGAACAGCCCGTGGGAAGGAGCATCATTTTTGTGACATGAAAAGTGTCCCTTGAATGCAGTGTGAGATGGTGTCTTCTGAGCCAGGGCAGCAACATGGAGACCAAACCATGAACAGAAAGCTCATAGTTTAAAAAAAAATTTTAAAAGAAAGAAAGAAAGAACCTATTATTCCTGACACTACTTCAGAGCCCCTGAGCCTGTGGATCAGGGTCAATGTGACCAGCTAATATCTTACCTTGAGAGAACAGGAGTTTTTAGATACCGGGCTCTAGTAGAACTACTTAAAAAAAGAATTCTTTAAAATATCTTTTCTTCTGGCCACAAAATAAAGATGTTTGAGATGAGAAGTACCTAAAGAAGATCTCTGATCCTAGGAGGTTACTTTCAAGATGGACTTTAAGAAGATGTAACCAACACGTGACAGGGAGGAGCCATGCATCACAATGAATAAATCCAGGATGGACTCAACAGCCCCAAGACACAAGCAGTGAGCTCAGGAAAGACTCAAGAATTAGCATTTCTTATCTTAGACTTTACTGCTAAATCACTTCAGCTGACCTGATAGATAACCTGGTATTTCCATGTACAAAAGGAAATAATGAGTTTATTGACTGATCTTTGACCTAATGAATGGTTTTTAAAAATTTCTTTAAACCAGACACAGAGGCATATGCCTGTAATCCCAGCAGCTGAGAAGGCTGAAACAGGAGGATCACAAGTTCAAGGCCAGCCGCAGCAATTTAGAGAGGCCCTAAGCAATTTAGCAAGACCTTGTCTCAAAATAAAAAATAAAAAAGGGCTGGGAGTGTAGTTCAGTGATAATGAACCCCTGGGTTCCATCTATAGTACCAAAAATTAAAAATTTTTAAAGGTCTAAAAAAATAAAAATTCTTTAATAAAGAAAAGAAAGTATACTTGTTTTTCGAATGATTGTGATCCAAGTTGCACATCCTGCTTCACATATATATGAAAGTGACATGGGACATGTATTTTTATTTATTTTTTCCTACCATTTTATTTAAGGCATAGTGAACTGGCATTATGTAGTATATCTCTCAGTGTTTGGATCTGAATAAACCAATTTTAAGATAACACACAAGCACACCTATATATGAGTTTGCAATTTGTTACAGGGGCCAGATCCTACTGTGTTGACTTATAAAACTTTTTAACAATCACAAAATTTTAGAAAAGCATAAAGATGGCACAAAGCACTCTCTGATTCTATTTGAGAGTGAGTTGACACGATGCCCACCACTCTGCTGCCAAATACCTCAGTGTGTATTTCCTACAAACAAGGACACTCTCCTTTATAATCACAATGCAACCATCAAAATCAGGAAATTATCATTGTTACGTTTCTGCTAATAGTCTTCAGATACCATTCAAGTTTCTCCAATTATCCCAATTGTCCTAAAGGACCCAGCTCAGATTCACACTTCATCTTCATCTCATTCAGTTTGGAATAGTTCCTCGATCTCTTTATTTTCGACCTAGATATTTTTGCAGGATACAGGCTAAGTATCTTGTGGACCATCTCTAAGTTTGGTGTTGTCAGATATTTCTGCATGGTTACATTCAAGTTACACAACTTCTATTGGATTGTCAAGAAGCCATGTAATGTTTATTTCATTGGGCACTCGTTTTGATCATTTGATTCATGAAGTATCTGTCAGATTTTTCCACTTGTAAAGGTACTTTCTTCTCTTTAAAAGTTAGTGTTTTGTGGGGAGATACTGTAAAACTATGCAAATGTTTTGTTCCCCATCAAACTTTAAAATTATTCATTTATTTGCTTATGTGTGTATGAATTCATGGTTTCCTCTGGTTATAATTCCACAGGTTATAATCTGATACCATCAAGTTAGTCCATTGCTAATTTCATGATGGAGTTGTAGAAGCTGCCTTCTGTGTCTGTCCAATATAGCCTCCTCAATCTTCAAGCACTTTCTTGCTTTCTGGTACCAGGTATTTCAGGCTTATCTTAAACGTTGCCTGCCTGGCTCTGGAATCAGCCATTTCTCCTAGGATTCCTGGTTCCATTCAGTGGCAAATGGTATTTGGAAGCCAAGATCCAGGGCTAGGTATACTCATTGCTTTTGGGGTGTCATTGTTCTCAAGCCTTCTCAGTGGACAGAGCAAAGGAATACATGATAATTTACACAGGGTGTGTGTGTGTGTGTAGTTGTACATATGTACATATTACACATATGTATGTATTTGTTTATGTTTATGTCTATCTATTGAAAACCATGAGTTTATTCTAGTTTTCTTCCTTTATATATTTGTAACACCCTTCTCTGAGTATCTCGCTTTCATTATCCTAAATGTTTTCTTATTTGATCAATACCCAGAATGAAGGTCATCTCTCATCTCTGCTTCCATACTGTTCTCCTCAAGAATTCTTCTTCTTACTGCCCAGACACTGATTTACCATTCTGTGTTCCTCTCTCTACCCACACCATGTGGACGCTCTGCTCACCAAGCTTGGGCCCTGACACCCAAAGCAGGTGGCCCTGCTGTATGGAGACTTTGGTGCACATGGGCACACGTACACACACTGCTGTAGTCTAACCCTTCCCACCCATTCAGGCATCGATACAGCATGCTGGACAGCTCACCCAGGGGCACCGCCTCCTACCAGGCTCAGGCTGGATATCCCCTCTAGGCCTCTACAGCTTTCCTACTACCACCACCATGGATTCCTGCTTTGCTCCACCCCATCTAAAGACTTTAGGGATGAATTGTTTGGTAAGAGAAGTGAAGGAGTTGGGAGACGGAGAATGAGCCAGATGTCCTGCTCTTCAAGAGAGTTTTAACGTGTAAAGACATCAAGGTCAGGCATGCCATTTATAGTTGTGTAGTGGCTCTGAGTCAGAAATCATTCACAATGCTGTCACTGTTCTATGAACAACCCAGAGGGAAGAGTACTTCCACTTCAGAGATGGTGCTGGTCGAGGCTGATTAAACCTTCTGTTGTATCGGCAGACTCTGAGTCTACTGTAAGGGTCCCGCGAAACGTCGGAGAAAGAGACCACCAAGTGACCACTCATGCAATTGGCAGAAGGGGGATTTATTGAACCAGCATGCTGGGGCTCCGTGCCCACTCAAGAAGGGAAAGCAGCCCAGAGCCCCGAGCAGGGGCTGAGCACTGCTTAAGTACACTTTTTGGGGAGGGCGGAGGGCTTTGTATACATCAGAACAAATCATCATTAGGCGCGGGAAAATTGAATAACAACTCCTAAACATGATTGGTTCATTCATTGGCGGGAACAGGTCAGGCTGGAGTGATAGGTCATTCCTAAGGAGGGGGTTACATTTAAACTGATTGGTCCAGGCCCTGCAATGCCTACGTGCGACCACACAGAGCCCTTATTAAACAACCAATAGTCAGGGGAAATATTTACTGGGCAGTTCCAAGCATTGTCTCAACAGCTACAGAAATTTCAGGTTTTGCAGGTAGCATAGAAACCTAACAATACCTAATCCTTTACATTTTAACTCAGACCTTGCAGCTTAGAAACTTTACAACACCCGGTCTTTTACCCTTTAACTTTTACGCTTTAACTTCAATTTCTTTTACCCTTACACTACGTTTGCAAAGAATCCTCCCAAAGGATGTAAAAGGTGACTGCTTCCATTTCTCTAGTTCCAACTCAAGAGACTGTTGTAGGGACAAACGAGGCAAGGCATCGAAGATAGCAGGAAACAGTTTTATTTGGCTGCAGCCAGGTTCAGAGGGCACAGTTTTTGCTGTAATCAATTAATCCCCTGAACCCCGAGTTCAGGGAGTTTTAGAGTTTTATACCCAGTATGTAAGGGGAGGGGCTCAGAAGTTCACAGTCTGCAAAAGTTCATATAAAAGCAGCTTTTTCTTTCACTGTTCTGGGCATGTTAACTATTCAAGGACAACACCTGAGAAGGGGAGAGCCTCTTCTCCCCTTCCTTTCCTCCCCCTGCCAGCTGTTACCATGGAGCCCAATTGTAACTTATCTTAAAAATGTAGACATCTCTGTGAAGCCTCAGCTCAAGGCCAGAGGCCTTGTTTGCACATTTTTTCAAAGTATTATACTGGATATGTTTGTGAAAAACTATTAAGGGGGTGTCCAGCACCTGGAGTGATGGTATCTTCTCTGCCAGTGGCCAAGGAAACAGGGCGACACGAAAATAGGAAGTTTATCTACAGTGAACTGTTTTGCAGAGACTTTTGCTGACCTAAAATCAGTCTGGGTGAAGATTTCTGGAGAGGCCCAGTTAAGACTTTTAGTGAAGAAAGGGGGTGCCACTTCAAGACCAGACTAATGGGCTAACATTTCAGGAACATGCAGGGCAGAGATAATCAGAGTCAGCCAGTTGTCAAAAATGCCCAAGAGGATTTCCTAAAAGAGGGGTCCCCAAGTTTGTTCCCAGTGGTTGGCCTCAGGAGACCTGAGGTGAAGTTTTAGAATCTGTATTTTCTAAAAGTTTCTTGAGTAATTCTAACAGGCTGGGGGATGCTGGTGGAGCACTAACCACAACCTTTTAAAGTATAGAATTGTCAATGTTATTTTTAAGGTGACCATCATTTCCCAGTGATCATTGTGAGGGGTTCATAATGTCCTGGAGGCAGAAGGAACGTGTAACCTGGACAGTCCTCCAGTTCACTTGTAATACATGATACAATGTTAAAGCAATGTATATTGCTATAAAATTGGAATGATGAGAAGGAAAATGTCTATACATATTCATTGAGAGGGATATTTTTTTCCAAAATGTTTTTCATACGAGGCTGTTCAAATCCACAGCTGTGTGTGAGACTCCAGGACATGGAGGACCCACTGTGTAGCAATTCATGATGTTGCCCTACTCAGTGTCTTCCTCCTTTCTAATGGACCTATGGCTTTTTCCCAGTATTCTCCCACACTTTGTAGTCATGCCCTTCGGGGAAGGCAAGTCTGTCCCCAACCAAATGAGAAATCTTTTGAGTTAGTCATGGTGGCCCTGTTCCCCATGCCAATGGTCAGCTGAGGCCTGGGCACATAAAACAATGCTGGCCATGGAGACAGGAGTGAAAGATCTTAGTGGGCTTCTAGAAAAAACTCTTCCTTAATGATAAAAAGAGACACTCAGAACCAAAACATCCTCCTTCCCCTAAAATGTTGTTATAACCACCTATGCCCAGAACCAGCATTTTATCACAGTGGGGGTCTGAACTGCTGTGGGAAGACACCAGAGGAAAGAGACCCCCCCTGAACTTCAGGCCTTGATGGTTTTGTTAAGCTGTCACAAATTTCAGAACTTTCAGATCTCACATTATTCTTTAAGCCAGGTGAACTGGGTTTTCTGTTACTTTCAACTCCAAACAAAGCACCGTTGAAACTATAAAACTCTTGTTTTATGGAAAATGCTTGTTCCCTCTTGGAATGCCAAGATGGAACAATTTTTCTGTTTTATGGCTGAAGGAGTAGAGGCCCAGGGAAGTTCAATCACCCACTGAAGATCACACAACTAAGGAATAAAAAAAAACACTGGGAATGGTGCCCCGGCTTCCAAGCAGAAGCCCCCTCTGTTCTTCCAAATGGTGTGAATCCCGGGAGGGGAGGGCGGTTGGAGCACACTTCTTGCTCATTGCCAGATGGAACCAAGGAACAATCGATAAACCTCTAGTTAACAAGCCTCTCAGTGTTGCCTTTTAGAACTAGATCAAAGGATGC